TTTCTTGTTGTCTTTCTCATTGTATAGTGTACTCTAGCATCATTTGTACACCCTTAATAGTGCGTTTACTTTAACGCTATTTTTGGCGCAACAGTCAGTAAATTCCGTCTCCACGAGGAAACATTCCCAAATAAATTGAGGCTGATCGATTTCGATATCGAAAATTTACCAACCAGATCGATCATTTTGTGATAGTCGGAAGACACGTCTCCAGTGTTCTAGACGTACGTGCGCTCCGAGGTCCTAACATCACCTTGAACCACTTTTTTGTTGCAGCCAAGATTCYCACCGGCCTCTGTCAGCAAAAAACGCACGCCAACAAACACACGGAACGTTCGACGTCGAGAAGCTGCAATCACAACAAACAGGCGAATGATTTTCTACTCGACTTTCACTCCTGCTCTCTGAGAGCACTCGTCAACAGCTGTGAGACGGCATTTCAAGCTCCTTACGTACAGCTGCAACCGAGACCATTGGCTTTCGGAAAAAGAGGAGCTGGTCCGACGAGGAGTGCCATTTCGCAGCGGAKAGAAAACAGACTGCCTATCTCGCAACATTACGATCAAACACAACACGTGCGGGACGGAATAGATACCGAGAGTTGAAAAGGGGAGGGAGAAGCATTTKCAGACAGAAACAAAGAGAGGCCGATATAAGTGAGTATAAAAAGCTTAACAAGCTGACCGACAGAGGTATTTATCGCAAATTCTATGAAAAGATGATGCGACCGTAGCTTATTCTTGCAGAACCGCCAGAGGTGATTTAGTGGCTAATGCTCAGAGTATGCTCAAATTATGGAGGGAACACTTCTCCGGCCTGCTGAATGGCAGTAAACGCACAACGCCAGGAGAAGGCGAACCTGATAACCCAATCGATATTCCATTATCCGACCATGAAGAAGCTTGAATAGCAGTACTCATCCGAAGAACGAAAAAGAGGCGAGGGTCGATGGATTGCCGGCCGAGCTATTCAAAGACGGCAGCGAAAAACGGATGAGGAGCATATGTCAGCTTTTTTATAATATATGGTCGGACGAAAGCATGCACAACGATTGGGATTTAAGCGTGCTCTGCCSAATCCACAAACCTAGTACGGCTTGGTAAAAAGACGTTGATCAACACCAAACACCAAAGTTTCCGTCGTTCGATACCAAACGAGGTATCAGACAAAGCGACACCTTTTCGTGTGACATTTTCAACCTACTTCTGGAGAAAATAATTTGAGCTGCAGAACTAAACGGAGAAGGTACCATCTTCCATAACAGTGTACAGCTGCTGGCGTACGCCGAAGATATTGATATCATCGGCCTCAACACACACGCCGTTAATTCTGCTTYCTCTAGACTTTACAAGGAGGCGAAGCAAATGGAACGAGTGGCAGTGAACGAGGGCAAGACGAAATATCTCCTGTCATCAAAACAGTCGTCGCACTCGCGACTAGGCTCCCACGTCACAGTCGATAGTCATAACTTCGAAGTTGCAAATAGTTGTAACTAACATTAACAGCAACAATAGCGTCGAAATCCAGCGCAGAATAACGCTTTCCTGGAGGTGCCACTTCGGACTAAGTAGGCAATCGAGAATTAAAGTCCTCTCCCGTCGAGCAAAAACCAAGCTCTATAAGACACTAATTATTCTGCGTAAGATTTATAGTCCTTTGCGCGTTGGCCACGGCGAATATCGCATTCGTTGGAATGAYGAGCTTCTTCATGCTTTGAAAAAATAATATTGGATACAATGGGTTTTGCCTGATAATAGAACATTATTTTGAGGAGAAAACGCTTCTCCAAGTCCATAAGAAACGTGGGCGAAAGACACAATTGACGCCCAATCTATACCAAGTACAAAAATGATGTCGGATAGTTAGAAGACCAATATAATCAACTGTAAGAAAGAAAAAGTTAACTCAACGGCTAAGTGATGTGTCAATCAATGCGCATAGCAATTTAGCAAMTATKTGKAAGAAGTCTTAAACTATTGGTAGTTAAGTTTGTTATAAGGCCATTAAACCAACATCTCGATTTTGTGCRACTGCGGCGAAACACTTCCTCAATTATGCCAACATTCTCTTAAGAGTCCAAGTTATGCCGTAGTCATTTGTMAAAACTGCCTTCCAATCACCTACGCTGACCAGAAAAATAATTGCTGTAGTCTTGAAAACACTCAGCAAGCACTTCCCCACTACCTTCAAACACTTTGAGCAACAACAAGTTCGTGCTTTAAGTCTTTTGTACAAATTTGCAGCTGTGCACCCCAGTGCGTTGCATTAAGTCGAATGCGATTAAATATCAATTGCATAGGCATATAAAACAACAACAAACCACATCGATAGCAACAACAACAACAGCAACGATAACTATTGCAACATTCTGATATCAAATGCGCGCAACTAACACAATCGGCACACTTGTGGCGCGTCAAGGAAATAAAGTCAAGTCGAGATGCATAAACTACAAACGCATTGTTTCGACACAAAAAAACCAACAAAAGAGCAGCAGTGATAAAGTAAAAAAACACGAAAATTAAGAGCGAATCAAGCGAGTGAAAACTCTGGCGGCGAGTGAACGCGCGCTGCGGAGARCCAAAACGCTGCAATGCGCAGCTAAAATTTAGCGATGGCCAATTTGCTTGCTGACTTGCTGCAACAAAACTAATGCGCCGACACAAATCGTCAAGCGCCCCAAAGAGAGCGAGTTGAAGGTAAGCGCTCGCCGGCAATGCGGCAGCATTCACTTTAAAAGTCAGCGACGCCACAAAACCGAACGACAGATTGGTTCAACACGTTGAGGCGGCAACAACTTGCAGTTAACGGCAAGACCAGCAGCAGCAATAGTACAAATACAAACGTGCGGCTTACAGTGTGCGSTTTTTGTGAGAAAGTAGCGAAATAAGTGCAAAATAAAAAGTTCATAATTATTAAAAAGTGTTGCCATTGCAAAGTGCCGAAGTAGCGACAAGACCAGCAAACCAAATGAAATCATTTTTGTTTTTTGTTTTGTGGAAAGAAAGTTAAGTGAAACGAACAGCACAAGAGCGCAGCTGCGGAAGCAACGAAAATCGAATGCAAAAACAAACGCACTTCCAGTGTAAAACAACAAAAACCWTTCCACAAGCAGCAATAAAGCGTTAATTCACAACAACAATAAGCAATCGGTGTATTATAAAAACTGTCTTTAGTTGTTGTAGCGATTTCGGTCGGTGATTACGGTCGACATTTAATCTTTACGARCGGCCGCGAGTAAAAGTGATTTTGTTATTGAACGCAACGCACGTCGTCGTCGCCGTGGCGTAGTACTTTTCATTTCGGTATTCGGCTTATTTCATTTTCATATATTTGACAACGTCACTTAACTGTAAACTGCAAAGCGAACACATTTGCGCTGATCAGACCAACTCGCTGGTAAATAGTTCACCAACTTTGGTTAAAATATTCAGCACCGGCTGCTGAGCGCGGACAATTATTTGCCACATAAAGCTGCAGCAGCACGTAACATATCAACGAAATGAAGGTGAGTAAGTGCACATATGTGTGTGTTTGAATTACTGGATGTTATGGTTGTGCCTTTGCGGCATGTAGGCTGAAAATTTCAAAATCAATAATGAAATGTCGTCAAAAATGAGTGACCAAATGCACTGAGCGAGCAGACGRATTGCGTTTAATTGCAAAAACAAGCGATTTGCAAAACAAATAAATAATTGTACATAACATTTTGTTTATTAAAAATRCACTAAGTGCAGAGAAAGCGTTCAAAGGCTGATAGTTTCTATTTAAGACAATGTCTCGCAGTAAAACTGCCTTTGCCATGTTTTGCAAAAGCGCTATTGATTATTGAACTTGGCTGTTAWGCTTTGTTGTAAGCAAAAAGTCAATAAAACAAAACCGCAATGACGTTTTCGTTGGCTTGAAGTGAAAAGCGTTGCTGTTTTTGCAGAGTTCACTCTTGGCAAAGAGGACTGTTGGAAGTTTTAGCTTTGTGAAGTATATACGAAATTATCCGTTATGACTTATCTTAAATATCCACAGAAAGTAATTTTTTTTATGTTCAATGTTTTTTACTAAAATATAAAGGAAATGGCCAAAGATTCACAGAAAACAATTGTTTAACCAAAATTTTTATTTTGTTCCTGGTATATAAAAATATTTTAAAATAAAAAATTATTAAATTTATATTTACGGAATAATAAAATATAATTCGGAATCAATGAGAAACGTTTAACAGTGATGTTAACAATGATATTTGTAAATTTTTAATCTCATGCCAATCGAAGTTGTAAGTGCATTCATTGATTTTGAATTTACTAATTGCTAGCACAAAATCTTAGAGATGAAGAGAGTGTACATTCAACACTGTACAGCTATAAAAAAAAAAATTGTAAAAATTCCAATAACAGTCAGCGGTTAGTAGGCAAACTCCATAGGGTATAGCAAATCATATAGACAAAATTTTATATACACTTAGAAGGCCGAAAAAACGAATGTTCCAGAACTTTTTCTTAGAAAACTTTTAAATTAATTGATCCAAAAATGTTTACACATATCACGGTATCTTTTGACTGTATTTCAAGACTTGGGATTAGTAAAAATATTTACTTGGCAAGGAATAACAGCTGATCTCCGGGAGCTCCTCTCAAAAAAGACGTTTTGCTATGACCACTATATCCTAAGCTGGAAACCTTTGAAATTAAAATAAAAACAAACATATAACAAATAATGTCAAATATAGCCATTATTCGAAAAATAAGCAAAATATTTTCTTTTTTACAAAATTGAGGGTTCCAAAAATAAAAAATTGATTTTTGACCAAAATTTCGGACTTTGTTTACAAAAAAAGTATTTATTGATGAAAAAATATATATTAATTGCTAAAAAAAAATATATTTAGGAAGCTCGTGTACCTGGCAGTTAAAAAAAAAACTAAAAAGGAAAGTTTTTGTTTCTCTGTTCTTAAGTGGGTATTCCCGTAAGAGCGTTATACATCAACYGCAAGCAATCTGAGCTATAAGGCAGGTGAGGCAAGACATCTTGCAGTCACAGTCTCTGTCTAAACAGTTTTTAAGCATCCCTGCAACTTGAAGTCGAGCATGTCAATGATGAAACACTTTGATACGCGYCATTTGTCATCATCACCATCAATATAGTGCAATAACTATTTCCCTTTTTAGCGTTCAAGCAGCATTTTAGTCATGCAAAATCATTCATCATCTTGACTTCAATTCAGATGGCACCCAACGAGTTAAATTCGTACAATGGTATCACTGAAGTGGTATAGCCGCCATCCACTTTTGTATTGAATATTTTAGATCAGTTTTACGTTTGGTGAATGGTTTAAATGGTAAATAGAAAGAACAATTTTTTTCTTGAATTTTTTTTAAACTAAAATATAAAATGAATTATAGAAAACTAGATTAAAAGGTTACTAAATCGTTTTTTAACGCGAAAAAATAATTTATCCACTAAAAAAGAACCATAATCATTCAGCGCATGATTGCTTTATAAAAAGAATTACAGTGATCGGATTTAGTTCAAATACGTGCCGTTTCGTTCTAAGCCCCTACTTATTTGCGAAGAACTTGGACAAACACTTTTTACAAGCCTCTTTTGAGTTCTACTTTATACCTACAAGGGCGTTCGCAATGGAGAGGAACAGGTGGTAATCACTTGGCGCTATGTCTAGGCTATATGGTGAATATGATAAAACCTCCCATTAGAGCTCCCGTAGCTTCTGACGAGTCATCAACGAAGTGTGTAGTCTGGTGTTACCCTGGCGGAACACTACTCCCTTCCTGCTTTCCAATTCTGGACGCTTCTGGACGATCGTCTGCTTCAAGCGGTCCAGTTGTTCGCAGTAGATGGTAGAGATGAGCGTCTGGCCATATGGGAGCAGCTCATAGTGGATGATTGACTTCAAATCCCACCAAATACACAGCCGTCAATCCCGGCTTGGCCACTGTTTGGGACGATCGTAAAGATCTTTCACGCAAAGCCTTCAATACCCTACCGATTTAGGGATTTCTCTGAAATGACAGTTCGCTTTTCGGTTCCTATTGGGTAGGCGACACGTTCGCAGCAGTGCCTCAGYTGTTTCGTAACCGCAATAAAGCAATTTTTTCAATTTGCTTGTGTTAATGCAATCGCTATTACTAAGTGGACAAAAGATAACGACGCTAATGAAAACAAACGCTGAAAATAAAGAAAGCAAATAAACAAAGCGAAAACTGCACAAAGCTTATGCGCCTGCGTGCGCTATTCAAGTGCATCGCGCAGCGGCAACAAGTTCAAGTGCATGCCGCCTGCATTATGTTTACCTTTCCATGCACTTCGGTATTATTATTTTTGTTTTAATTTCTTTCGCCTTTTCTGCATGGTGCCTGCAAGTTTCCACTGCAATTTTATGGCGCGGCCGTTTGTAAGCACAGTTCACTTCATTCCTCAACGCCTTTCTCTCCATCGTTTTATGCTCTGCCTTAACGAAAGTGAAAGAGTAATGTGCAAATGGTAGCTTACTTATAAGTAGCACGCTCGGTCGTTTACTGCCCACGAAAACTAGTTACTGCGCTTTTTTGTTTTTTTGGTTTACCTGTCCAAACTTATCACAATTTAGTTTTTGTTTGTTTATCTCTTCTGTTTTGTTAACTCATCCACTTACTTGTACATATACACACAAACATATTTTTGAATTTCATTATTCATTTTTATTGTCTCAGCCGTCTTTCGATATATCTGAAGCGTTCGCTAGTATTTGAAAGTTGTTTGTTGTTGCGGTGGTGTCGTGTTTTGATGTGTTGTGTTGTTGCATGTCCGCGCTRGTTTCTGCTGTTATTATATAATTTTCTGCATAGCAATAACATTACAGGTATATACCGCAGCCATCGCCGCTTGAATCGGTTGTGTGTTGAAGAYACATAATGGAATCGGCGATTATCTTTTTAATCGAATTCGTTATGTTGTAATATTTCGAATGGAAGTTATTGACACACTTGAATATCGACAACTTTATTATTAATATCTTATTATTAAACAACAGAGTGCGCTCTTCTTTACTAGCATAGACACCGCTCGGGCGATTATAGCCGAGTTACCAACAATGCGCTACACATTTTTTCTTTTCGCTATTTAGCGCTAATAGGAGATATCAAGTGCAGTGCCGGATTAGCCACGTAGCAGCTRACCGTAATTAAAAAAATATAAATTTAGATGGRGCGTAAAATACCCTTGCGTGCTTTAAAAGCAAACCGCTTGGGTTTTGCTTTACTCTCACCTGCCACCTAAAAATCTAAAACTCGATTTCGTCACCTTCAATCGTTAAAATAAGTAGGCATTTTACGAATTTCTTTACTTTAATGTTCTAATGTTTAATAACAAATATCAAATATTATAATCGATATTATTAGACTAGTATCTATTTTATTAGACTTATCTACCCGTCAATCATCCAGATTTTTATTTTTTTATTAATATCCATTAATTTTTATAACAAAATAAAGTTAAATTTCGGCCGAATACCGCTTTTGTGACTTTTTATTACTTGAATAAATATTTTCGTAAAATAAAATAAAAAGAAATCATTATCGAATATCTCCAAATTTTGTATGCTTCATGGCCGTCAGAAGAAAATATGTACAATTATAATATTAAATTTTTACAATATTTTTGTTGAAAATTATTTTTTAACGATATTCTTGTGACCTTCCATATTATAAAAAAGAACATTGTTTTATATCATAACGCTGACCTTTCTAACAGGGCAAAATTTTTTATGTCAGTGCTGCCTTAAGAGCAAGGAGTCTCAAGTCATGTTCTGCCATCTGCACCAGTGGAATGATTTGTTAAGTTCGTGGACATTTTAGGTCAAACTGCTGAACAACTCCCTCAAAGTTTACTAGATTTCTTGAGTGAGAGTGGCATTAACATCAAATATTGTCGTGGGCAAAGCAACATGAGTGGAAAATACATCAGCTTACAAGCCCGAATTTAGAAAATAAATAAATATGTAGAATAATTTCCTTGTCTTGCACATTCATTAAATTTGGTTGCTAAGTGCGCTGCAGACTGCTGTATAGAAGCATTACTTTTCTTCGATTTCATTGAAAACCTCTATATATTTATCCGCTTCTACCTATCGATGGTTTCGTCTTACGAACGCACTTAAAGATTCTACTTCAAACGGTTATCGGACACTAGGTGGTCAGCCCGAGCTGATGCTACGAAGGCACTTTAATGTGGTTCTATCACTATTAAACAAGCATTGGAAGACATTTTCCATAACGTGGATCCAAAAGCGGAGTGCCGTAATAAAGCTTACGGACTACTGTCAACGATAAATAAGTTAGAAACGGGAATAACAACAATTATGAATCACAATATGGCTACGTCCAAGCAATGCGGTCCATTTGATATTGAGGCACGATTCAAAAATCTGTCCTRCTCTGAAGAATACGAACAACAGATATCACGACGATTCAAGCGAAATACAACGTACGACTATTTCAGCGACTCTACTGCACTCGA